CAGGATTAAAGGGTTTAGGGTTGAGGGTTTAAGTTTTGGGGTTTAGGGTTTAGGGTTGAGGGTTTAGGGTTGAGGGTTTAGGCTTTATGGATTAGGGTTCAGGGTTTATTAGGGTTCAGAGTTTATTAGTTATTAGGTGTTGGGGTTTATTATTGTTCAGGGTTTATTAGCTTTATGGATTAGGGTTCAGGATTAGGGTTAAGGTTTGGGGTTTAGGGTTTAGGGGTGAAGAGACAAGGGTTGAGGATTGGGGTTTAGGGTTTAGGGGCAGGTTCAGGATTAAAGGGTTTAGGGTTGAGGGTTTAGGGTTGACGTTTGGGGTTGACGGGGCCGGTTCAGGATAAGGGTTGAGGTTTGGGGTTTATTTTGAGGGTTTGGGGTTCAGGGTTTAGGGTTTGGTTTTCCGGGGCGGTGCGCGCTTAACGAGTTCAGGGTTTCCGGTTTAGCTGTTCAGTTTCCGGCGCCTTCTTCATTCGCTTTTTGGGGCTTTTAGGGTAAAAGGATTAGGGTCCATAGGTTTCGGGTTCAGAGTTTTCGGCGAACAGCGTTTGCGGCTGTGGTTTGCTGGGCCTCCTTGGTGGCTGCGCAGGACCCTTACTCCAATCCCCGCACTCAGTAGAAAGGAGTCCTCTGCCTCGCTTTTTTCATCAGGTCCATTTCCCTTAAGGGTCCATGTGCTCACAAGGGTTTAGGGTTTAGGGTTTAGAATAGTATATCCACTGGCCCCAAAGTATCTGTATAGGGACTACTTTAAGGCCAAAGTATCTACTAGTTGGGTACATGGACTCTTAGGGTTTGCTTCGGGAAGCTACCAGGACCTCCGAGACAGCGTCGCGGACCTCCGTGTTCAGGTGGACTTGCAGGAAAGCCGGGCACAGAGTTCTGTCGTTGCCAGTATCTAGGGTTTAGGGGTTAGGGTTTAGGGGTTAGGGTTTAGGGTTTAGGGCTATGACGCCTCAAGAGTCCATGGTGCTTGAGAAGATGGCAGAGCTGTGGCCCGTGGCTGCGTCGACAGCCGCGAACGCTATCGAAGGCCATGGTTTGGTAGAACCTCACACGACCAAAGCTACCCGAGCCGTATCGACCCTCAAACCTAAGCCTCTAAGACTATAGGGCAGTTTTATAAAACATACCCCGGCAACCCGATTACAATGATAAAGGTCCCCTTGCCCCTAAACCCGTCCCTAAACCCCTCGAGCGGAAAAAGCTTAGTGTCGAGATTTTTCTATGGGGTTTTACTTCCGAGTTGTTGAGTCGAAGCACTAGGACCTACATGCTAGACTTACCCTAAACCCTAAACCCTAAACCGCCTACATGCTAGTCCCTAAACCCTAAACCCTAAACCCTAAAAAAAACCGCCTACATGCTAGACTCAACTCGACAAGGGTCCTCTGGAGGGAAAGGCGAGACACAGCCTGAATTCCCCAGAGTCTCCGAAACCCCTTTAGGGTTTAGGATTTAGGGTTTAGGGTATAGTAGAAGCTGTAAGTACTGCCTGGCCGCCCAACCCCCTAAACCCAAATTCGGGTCTGAACAACTATTAGTTCTTGCCCCTGATACTTCGAGTGTAGTAGTTCATTGCGAGAAAGACCCCAAGGGCCCTGCAAACACTCACAGAAGCGTTTGGGCATCAGGGCCTCGACTCCCTGAATGTCCGCTGCCGTGAGTACAAGGTGCAATGCATCTTTCGCCGTGTTCTTTTAGGTCTTGTTTTTTTGTTTTTACAGGGCTGTATTATTTAGGGCCTTAATACTCAAAGTATGGTATGGAGGTGCCTTTTTAGCGTAACTATGGACTACGCGGGGATTTTATGACTACGTATCGAGGCCTCCGTGTAGGATCGCTTCATGGCTGTAGGTTTGGGTTCACTCTTCCGGGGGTCTAAGGTGTTCAGGCATCAGGGCCTGACAGTTCCTGTGTCGGGCAACATAATTCTATTAAAACTAGGTGGCAATTTGGGAAACTTTAAAATTTCCCTTATGGCCTTATGGTTTCTAAAGAGGTGCCTATTCATGAACACTTTTCAGTCATGGTGGACCTTGGGGAAGCTGGTGGTTGGTACCAACCCCGACCTACCGGTAGTCTCCATTGCAGTTCCTTTTTTGGTGTTCCTCCAAGGGTCCTAAATATAAACTTGGTTTAACCAAAAAACGGAACTACAACGGAGACTACTGGTAATCCCCAAACCGAAACCCCAAAACGAATGTTTCTTTCCTTGCCTTTATCTGCTCTAAGCTCGTCGCTGCACGCCGCTTTTCAGGCTGCTGGATGGGTCAGGGCTTTGGGTTTAGGGTTTAGGGTCTAGGGTTTAGGGTTTAGGGTTTGGTTCACGCATGTTCACCCTTGAAGACGCCAGGGTCTAGGGTTTAGGGTTTAGGATAGGGTTTAGTTAGGGTTTAGGAAGTTATACATCCGCGATTCAGGGAAAATGATTGAACAGCGTACCCGCTCACTCCGCACGGCCGCCCGATACAAAGCAATGGCTGCTGGCAGCAGCTCCATTGAGATCACGGTGCTGAACCTGGGAGGAGGTGGGCTGCTGCAAGATTTGGGATTTGTGGCCTAGGGCCATGGTTTGGGTTGTGCGTTTAGGGTATGCCTCAACCCCTTGCATACCCTTATGAAGCCCTAGGCCAAATGGTCTCGCAGGACCTCCTCCAGGGTACCAAACGGGCGCGGTCCGGCCACGGACGGGTCTACTAACTATGGGGTTTAGGGTAAGAGGTTTTGGGTTTATATAGAGCCCGACATTAAAAGGTGAGATTGCGAAGCTGACTGCCGAGCCCGAGGTTACGATGAAGGCACGGCACCTTGCTTTGTTTCCAATGTTAGTGCAGGTAAGGCCGGCTCCTAAACGCAAGCCCCTAACCCGCACACCATACGGTTGATGGTATAAATGCTGCACTACCCATAATATGTAATATACCATAATTCCCATAGTTTAGGGCCCTTAAGGTAATGCAGCATTTATTCCATGAACAGTACTTCCTCAACCCGATACTCTAAACCCCAAACCCTAATGACACCCTCAACCACAAACCTTCTGGGTTTTCCGTGGTTTGCTGTTCTATTTCAATTTCAGTGCGGCACTGAAAGACGAACTCGAGTCACTCTAAGCGTTGAGGGTTTTGGGTTTAGGGCTAACTTTAACCTAACGAAACCGTAAGGCAGGATGACGCTCACTTCTACCGCAAGGCTCAAGCAGCAATACTCTTAAGACTGTTCCCCAAACACTGAAAGCCTACACCCCTAAAGCCTAAACCCTAAACCCCAAAACCGCAAAACCCCCAAACCCCAAAGCCTTAACTAAAGACCTGACTGAAGCAGCTGTTGGGCTGCTTCCCCAAAGCCCTTAGGGTTTAGGGTTCAGGGTTCAGGATTTAGGGTTTAGGGTTTAGGGTTTAGGGGTTTAGGGGTTTGGGGTTTAGGGTACCGCAAATTGCACCATATGTTTTGAGTAGGAAAACACAGTTCAGTTGAAGTCTGACCCTAAATCGTAAACTAGCTTCTGAGAAGCATGTATGATGCCGCATCTGGGCGTCCTTGCGTCAAAGTCCCGACTACTTGTTGTCTTCATCGAGGCTCCAATAGAGTTGGTTTGTGTTTGACCTTGTTGCTTTTTGGGGTACTAGATTCCCTGTATCAAACCCAAGCCGCACCCTGAACTCGAAGAAGGGTCCAACACTTAAACCCTATGTAAACCCGTGAACTCCTAACCCCGAAACCCTTAAACCCTAAACCCCTAAACCCTAAGCCCAAGAGGCACTGAAGGAGGAGCTTGCGCGCAAGACCGGACTGTCGGCGTTACGGCAGTCTCTGACGTGCCTGTGAGCCGGATTATAGGGTTTAGGGTTTAGAGCTTAGGATTCTTGCTGTGGTTCTAAACCCCGCCTCTAGGCCCTTGTCAGCATCACAAGTTGTGGGTTACTATAGGAGAAGCCATAGAGTTGGAACGTTGTAGTCCTCATGCCCTTAAAGTAAGGTATAACGGATCGTAGCACAAATTAACCTAAGCCCATGTTCCAAGTTTCTGGGGTTCAGGGTATGTTATTGCACTTATTTCCCAAAACTCCCCTAAACCCTAAACCCTAAACCCTTATTTCCCAAAACTCTAAACTTCAAAGTCGATTTAGGGTCTCGGGCTTAGGGTTTAGAGCTACGGTCCCTGAAAAACTACGCGAAGCGCTGAGCATAGGGACTGGTGAACCAAGGCTTAAAAGGGCTCTGAAGATCTACGCATAGTCTAAACATTTAAGAATATCCCCCTATAGTCCCTGATTCATCATACGGTTGATGATTCAAATTCTGCATTACCTATAAAAAGGAACTTACCACAATTACCGTAGTATCAGGGTCCTTAAGGTATATGCAGGGTTTATATCAACAGCAGTAGATTGATAAACCACAACAGCTTGTTCTGATCCTTTCCTCAACGCTCCTGAGTTCAATTCCTATCAGTGCCCCTTATAGTTTTTAGTACACCCACCCTAAACTCTAAACCGTAAACCCTACAGCAAACCGGATCCCTGTAGTAGGCCCCTTCATTTAACCCTAAACCCTGAACTCTAAACCCCAAACCCTTAACCCCGAGGTACGACGACCGCACGTTGGAAGACACTGAAACTGGCACGGCCCTGGCATGGAATCTTCGCAGACTGAGTACTAAACCCTAAACCCTAAACCCTATATACAGGATTTAGGGTTTGTTGTTTTGGTTTCGGGATTCGGGTTCCGGGTTAAGGGTGTCGGAGTTAAGATGTTACGGCTTCGGGTTTGGTGTTTAGGGTCTGGGGTTTAGAGATAGCAATCGGAATAACATATGTAGTCCGCCAAACACGATTATCTCACCGTTCAGGCTCCTGCATTTGCGAATCGGCTTGTAGTGTGTATCTAGACATCGAGTTTAGGATCTCAGGGTCTATATAGTGTTTATGGGGTCCCTATTTTTGAACTGAGTCTACCAAGTCACTGATTTGAAGTCTGGCAGGGTGGGGTTTAGGGTTGACGGGTATTATCTGGTCGCGAGATGTATGTCTGGTTTAGGGTTTAGGGTTTGAGGTTTAGGGTTTAAGGGTTGATTCAAGTCGACACGTCCTTACCTTCACCTCAGCAAACGAGGAGTGGAGCTGTCTCGATCTACATGATTGCCAAAAGTATCTGGGATTTCCAAGAGCACCTAGATTCTAGGTTTTCCGCGGGAAGCTTTGCCAAAGATCTCTTCCCTCTCTCTGTCTCTGTCTCTCTCTCTCTCTCTGTCTCTCTCGCTCTCCCGTTCTCTCTCTCTCTCTCTGTCTCTCTCTCTCTAAACCACCTTGTTCTTAAACCCTAACCCAAGCCCTAAACCCTAAGCCCTAAACAAGGTGTGGATCTGGATGGCCATATTACTTGCCTCCGGCGAGAAGAGGAGCCCGATGAGAAGGTTGGACTGCCGGAGAAGGAGATCCGGATCCTTTGTGATCTCGTGGAGGCACGGGATTGCAGTTTTCGGGATCGGGTTTAGGGATTAGGGTTAGGGTTTAGGGATTAGGTTGGGGGTTTGTGTAGGGCAATAAGACTTTAGGATGGTTTAGGCCTGCGGGGCAGACGGCAGGACTTGGTATAAGGCAGGTATCGTTGCGGTGTCGCAGCCACAAAGTAAGAATCGAGGGTGACACACGATTCAGAGCGGAAGGTGTAGACAAGCAGCACAGTCCGTAAACCCTAAACCCTGATTGAAAATCACATCACTAGGATGTCGCTGTTTGACCATAAGCACTGAAGTGGCCCTCTGTTCGACAGAACCTGTTGAGACCAAGCATCTACTCTTTCATTTATGATTTCCAAAGAGTGCAATCATATCCCTAAACCCTTAACCCTAAACCCATGAACCCCTTCGCAGCGCTGTTGACGGATTGCCCACCTCTATGCTCCGAGGTTTCCATTCACGGACCCGGTGCTTGGAGACACGAGTTACACCAACTTAGAGTCGAGCCCAGAAAGCTAGTAAGACTGGGGGCGTCGGCGGTGTCGGGGGTATTATATAACCCTAAGGGTCCATGCACTTAAATAGTATATACATTGGCCCTAAAGTACCTATATAGGGAATGCAGTAAGGCCAAAGTATACACTATTTGGGTACATGGACCCGTAGGGTAATGTCATAGGCTGTACTGGGCAACTCTCAGAGAAACAGAAGCACTGTTAAGTTTCGGCCCATGGGGTCCGTCAGTCCAGGGTACGAACACCCTTCTCGCTCTGGCAGAGCCCTTCGGGTTTAGGGTTTAGGGGTTTAGGGTTTAGGGGTTTAGGGGTTTAGGGTTTAGGGGTTGAGGGTTTAGGGTTTAGGTTCTGCCAGTAGGGAGATGTCCCTGAGACGCCTAGCCCCAAAGCCTTTACGACTTTCCTCACTTACTCCAGAACATCTCCAGTCTTTCGTCGAAACTCTGAATCGAACCACTTGTTCCTTGAGCTTCTCGTTCCACCTAAGCGCTTTTGTAAAAGCCCCAGGCATGTCAAGCAGTATCCAACACCTCCTTAACATCCGAACCCATTTGGCACCACAAGAGCTCTACATGACTAGTAGCCCTACTTTCCTAAACCTAGCGCCCTGTACAACCTCTAGTAATCCCTGTCCTTGAACCAACTAGGTGTTTCAAAACTCTGGCAGGATATCTTCATGAGGGAGCCTGTTCTCATGGAGCTGGAGCCACCCCTGGTCGTTTCTTGGTCAGTGTTAGGGAGCCTTCTTGCCGTTTTTTGTTGTGGCTTGGGTTTCCTAATGTTGAAAACGGAGCCCACAAAGCGGATCCTGTGGGTTTCTTAAAAGAGTGCCTGAGGTTGGTGGTACCCTGGCCTCGTCCGTCAGCCAACTGAACAAGATCATCGAGAGGCTTCTTGACATGAGACGTTTCAGTCTTGCTTTCCAGTAGCTTATGAACTCGGGAACTGAGATGAACAACGGCTGATGATATAAACCTACCATAATTCTCACAGTTTATAATTATAAATCTACCATAATTTTCACAGTTTAGAGTTTAGAGTCCTTAAGGTAATGCAGGATTTATATGATAAACGGTAGGGACAGGGTTTAGGAGGTTCGTCTTCGAGGAGCGCTCGAGGAGTTGAGGAACTAAGCAGGGTCTCAGCGTCTCAGGACTTGCTTTTTTGGAGTCTGAGCCGTCGGGACTCCGAGGGGTCTGGGTCATAAGCTATGGAGGGTTGATGGTTCAGGGTATAGGGCCGACGATAGGGCCGACGGGTTTAGAGTTTAGGAGTTTCTTAAGGGTACTTAGAAATATTTTTTAATCTTTGGCTACTGTAAACCCTAAGAAGCAGCTAAAATTATAGTTTTTGCTAGGGGTCTAAGTTCAGTATAGGTTTAGGGGTTAAGGGGTTTAGGGTGGCTGGGTCAGACGGTTCTCACAAGGGCAGTTTTGGGAAAGTGTGATTGTCCTTGTCGCTGAGATGTCTGTGACGGCTCATGCTATTCTTGCATGTTTTCGTACATGAGACCGTTGTTATGATGACAGGGCTATTGCGCGCGTGGCTGCGGCTGGTTCTGCTGCTGTTGTTATTCTGCTTCGTCTTTTCGTATAAGTATTATTCCTATTAATATAATGTTCATAACTAGAATCATTATTGATGGCGATGGTGATGGTGATGATGATGTGGACGGTGATGACTACTATTTTACTATTTTTGTTTTTGTATTTACTTATTTACTTTTTTTGGATTTATATCAGTGATTGTTGTGTTATGTGTTTTTATTAGTTTACATGTGTTTACTTGCTTACTTAATTAATATACTTCCTTCCAAAAAGGTTGCAAAGCAAAGCCTGCAAAAACGCAGTCTCAGCGGCAGAAGAAACGGCACTTACTTCTTTTCTTTGATGTAAGGCAGCCTACTACTGTACCCCAACCTCGAACATCTCCTATAAACAAGCATCGACGATAAAAGTTAACACCTTCTATATAAGCCCTGCAGAAGCATTCCCGAAGATTTTCTGCAGGTGTGGCGAGCCAGGAGAAGTGCAATACCTCTTTCTTGGCAACTACGTTAGCCGAGGCAGCCGGTTTTCATCTCAGCATCGAAAGTTTTGGTTTCAGTGGTTTTGCAAAGATCCGACGAAGAGTTTGTATCAGGGCTTTCCAGGGTTGCCATAGGGGTTTCGGTGGATTTCGATGATCGCATCATGAGGGCATTTACATGTTAGGGCTTAGGTTTGGGGGGTTAAGAACCGGCCCAGAGCGACTCCGTTTCATTGCGAGGTCGAAACCAATTTCAAGGGGTGGATCTTCTGACCCTTCTGTATTGCCACCTGGCACGCCGACGCGTCTTCTTGCGTCTCAGGTTTTTGGGTGGTAAAGGCTTTGGGTTTGCTGTGCGTAGGTAGGTTCAGGGTTTAGGGTGAGGGTTGCCTCGGTTTCTGCCGCTGCTTTTTGCACCCTGGAGTCTGATACCTTGGAGAATCTAGATCTTTGGGCTGCAGCTTGTAATGGCGGTGGTTGGCTTTTCAGGCGTTAGGCGTTAGGTCCGTTAGGATCTTAGGGTTCAGGGTGTGTGTAGTACAGACCGATTTGGGTATTCTGCCTGACAATCTCAAAATGCGACTTCGTCAATCCACAGAAGGCCATAAAACCGTTCACTTGTCGAGCCCCCATAATCAGCCCTAGTTCTGGTAGGTTAGGGTCGCTTGTTAGGTCCCGAATATAGTGCGACACCCTAAACGGGACCCGAATCTAGAGAACTACCCATATTCCTGTTTGACAAAGCCGCCGAAAACCCCTATAGGAAATGCTACCCAACCTTTGCGAAACTCCACTATACAAGTTATCCATCCCCTGAAACCTGAAAGAACCCTAGTTAAACCATTACGAGGCCCCCAAAAGAGCTTCAGGATTCGATCAAACCCAAAACTCAAAAGGTTTAGGTTTAGGGGTTTAGGGTTTAGGGGTTTTGGGTTTGATTTAGGAAAGCTCACAACCCCTAAACATCGCAAGCCGCCTCAGAACAGCTAAGGTTTTAAGTGCCGGCAGCCGGACAAGGTGTTCCTACTCCGCGGCAAGCAGGACTAGCGTGTCTACCTGCGGCCCAACATCCCCGAAACCTAGATCCTAAACCCTAAGAATTTGTAGTTTAGGGTTTTGGACGGTTTACGGTTTACGGCTTAGGGTTTAGGATCTAATTCGTAGGGCTTTGGATATGCTTGGATAGTCAGGAATCTGCAAGCATCAGTCGAATTTACGGCTTCTACGACGAGTGCAAACGCCGATACAATGTGAAATTGTGGAAGCGACTCACTCAAACCATGAACTGCATGCCAATCTGTGCCTTGATTCGAAGCCGGATTTTCTGTGTCTCGTCGGGCCTTTCTCCCGAACTTCTCACGCTGGCCACTGGCAAGTCACAGAGCAGCAGTTTTTCTTGTTTTTTGGGTGGGTATCATCGACCGGATAATTGGAAATCCCGGCATATTGTCTTGACGTGATTGGGTACACCCCAAACCGCATTATAATCATCACTGAGGCCCACTTCCCAGGTAGTATTGGGGAGACCCATTCAAGGGGACCCTTCTTAACCCTCCTTATGGCCCTCTTAAACTCCTAACTCTAGTAGAAGAACAACAAGTCCTTAATCAGCAGTGGTGTTTTACCGGCTCTTTGTCGGACCGATTCCTCTGAACCCAGGTAAGCACCGCCCGATACCTTAAACCCCAAATCCCTAAATCGCCCACTCTAAACCCCAAAGCCTACACTCAACCCGAAGCCCTAAACCCCCATCTCTAAATTTTAAACCCTTAACCGTAATCCCCAAATCCTAAACCCTAAACCCCAAATCCTAAACTCTAATCCCCAAAGCCTAAACCCCAAACCCTAAACCCAGAACCCGAAACCCTGGACCCCAAACCCCAAGTCCTAAACTCTAAGCCAAGGATCAGCTCAACAAGATCGATCGCCCCACAGAAGTCCCTGACATGGGGCTTCTCTGCGACTAGCTTCTTGTTTAGGCTTTATACGGCTGATGGTATACATCCTGTACAGTAGTTCCCGTAGTTTAGGGTCCTTAAGGCAATGCAGTATTCATATCATCAACAGTAGGTGCTCAGGGTTTAGTGTTAAGGAGTGTGCTCCACAGGTCGCGCGCTGATTAGCATGTTGTAGTGTAAAGACATGCCCACCCAAGACCACCCACACACAACTCACAGCGAGCCACTCCGGAACAAGCCAAAGTTCAAGCCAACACCATCAAACAAAGTGGAGTTTGCAGGTATGGATGTGTCAGTAGGCAAACAGAAGTTCTTCAGAGTCTCCTCAAGTCGTGACGGATTGGGGGCTGCCAAACCCTGTCCAAGCAACATGTATGGTTTGCGCTGGAGTACGTTCTGGGCCGAAGGGCCCCGTCATTTCCAACCGGAGAGTGGCTCCTGGTCCGCTTGGAAACGTGTTTGAGCATTGGGCTACGTCAGGAGCGGCTCCCTGTTGTGTCCGGGGTCAGTTTTTCCCAAGATGTTTAGAGCCACAAGAGGCCGGGAGCACGTCCGGCGCCAGTTGGAGGCCGCCTCAAGCCTTGTCCATTTGGAGCACCCCAGACTCGTCTTGAATCTGAAGGATTGGGGGCCCCAATCTTTGTCCAGTTGGAGGCGCCCCAGATACGCTTGGATTGGGGGGCCAAAATCGGCCCAATCCTTGTGCAGTTGGAGGGCGCCTGAGGTCATGAAGGATTGGGGCCCCAATCCTTGTCCATGTGGAAGGGCTTCCCCAGGCTCGCTTCAAGTCGTGAAGGATGGGGCCCGAATCCTTGTCCACGTGGAACTCGTGGAGGATCGGGGGTTGGTCTGTTTGCGTAGGATTGGGGGCGTGTTTCCGAAAATGTGTTTAGCGCAATAAAATATGTGTTGGTGTCTAGCTCGGCGATGATAGCTTGGCGACCTCTAGGAGTGTGCTTGCAGGCTCTGCAGCTCCAGCAGAGCCTGCTTGGTCAGGTTGAGAGGGTCGGCGGGCAGGTTTAACAGAAGTTACGATAGTAGGGGCATACAATAGTTAATATGGCTTCCTGGTATTTATATATAGTGTCTATTGTAGTTCCCTTTTTGGTTTAACCCGTTTTATGTTTCGGTTACTATAGTTACAGGGTATCCCCAAAAGGATGTGCAATGGAGACTATAGGTAACTGAAACCTTTGTAACGCCCCAGGCGACCTCTTGTGGGCGGATCCAGAGACTGGTTTGAGAGGATGGGCGGAAATGGACAAAGGTTGGAGTTTGGGGTCGTAGGGGTTTGGGGTTTAGGGGTTTAAGGTTCAAGGCAAAAGCGCTCAGAGGGTTTAGAATTGGAGTTTGGGTTTTTTGAGTTTCGAGTTTGGAAAAAACCCCCTGCGCAGCCGAATGCAACTTTATAGATCTGAGGTAAAGTTCTGCAGTTGACCTCTAGCCCAATTTTCAAAGCGTCTGACATGGTGCGGCCCTATGAAAGACCTTTGGCCCAGCGGTACAGTAGGCCCCTCAATTTTTTGGGTACTATAATCCTTGTAAAATTCACAGGTAAACTTGTAGCTCTTCTAGGATACTGTACAAGTGCCCCCCAAAATCGAAAACCTGAACCCCGAAGCGTTATGAACCCAAAACGCGGAACCGGATGCCTGGCTGCAAGAAGCCCCAGGTGTCTCGTATATTTTTGGGGAGGACATCGTGCACAATTTCATGGAACGGAACAGTCTGGACTTGATCTGCCGAACGAGTCAAGTGGTTGAAAATGGCTATGAGTGCCTGGTGCTGTTTAGGTTTAAGGCCGATATTTTGGGGTTTGGGGGATTGTGAGACGCATTTTCCATTGAACATAGACAAGAGGCATCATTCTTCTTGTTCCCACCATTCTTTCGATACGGTTCCAGGCCACCACTGTTCCATGTTCAGGCTTCTACACTATGGCATAATGTCGCAATGCTTGCAGGTAAGATACAACCCTAAACCCTAAACCCTAAACCGTGTGAATGTGGAGACCCCTAGGCCCGAAAACCAATAAAGCCCGGACTGCCACAGTCAAGGCCCTAAGCCACGAAACCATACACCCCACACTTACAAATAAAGGCTGCCTTGAACTACCAAAACTTTTTTTTGCAGGATCCTTGATATTAGGGTTTACTAATTGAAAACCTACAAAACGAAGGTTGTGCTGCTTCCCTAAACCGTAAACCCTAAACCCAAGGTGTTTGAACAAAGTACATCGCAACAACTACTGAGCCGACTTCGGCCTCCGCGGGGCCGGTGTTGAGGGTTAAGGGTTTAGGGTTTAGGGTTTAGGGTTTAGGGTTTAAGGTTTGGTAGAACTCTCAAAAAATCAGAGATTCCTGTATGCATGTCCAAGCAGAGTGCTAAGCCCATCATATTTTGGAGGGTATGGGGTTGTTGGGGAAGGTTCCAGTTTCTGGCTTGGTGTCATTGAATAAACCTAAGCCGTGCAAATTGCCTTTGTATCCTGTATCTCCTTCATCCTAGGTTTGCCGGACATTTCCGTACCCTCAAACCCTTCAATCCTTGGTCCAATGAGTACCCATGGGGGTTTCCAAATATAGGGGACCCCTAATATAGCACCCTAAGTAGTAGGATCCTTATTATAAGGGCCCCAAAATAGGGTACCCTAATTTTCGGAATCTCCCCCATAGTCTCCATTAAAGTGTCTGTGGAGCGTTACTTTGTAGGGTCCTAAATAACATTTGGTTAAGCCAAAAACAAGGAACTACAATGGGGGCTATACGTCCCATAGGTATAAATGTCTAAACCCTACAGGGCTCAAGCCGAGGTATTTTGCGGATCAAAAGCTTGTGACTCTGTTCAGCTGCGCCGACTACGTCGGCGAGTTCGACAACACAGCTGCTGCGTCTCGGCGATGTAGGTTACAGTATGGGTTAGGACCGGACCGCTCGGAGCTTTTAAACTCTTATTCAAACGAACCCATAGAAAATGCAGTTTGTGCACACGTAAGTTGCATCGTTTGTGCATGGTACATGGTATGGTGACATAAGGATAACCCGTGCGCATGGTGACTCCTGGTATCGCTTACACGATTATCTTACGGTCAGTGCATGTGAGCAGTGGTTTCCTCAAACTAAAGAAAACTCTCAAAACCCCAACACATGAAGCCCTAAGCCATCCTAAACCCTAAATCCTACGTCTAACCCTGTATGTAAATTCTAATCCCCCAAACATGAAGCCTTAAGCCATCCCAGGCCCTTAATTCCGGGTCGCAGTCTTTGTGGCTCGGGGTTTTTTCGGGTTATTCGCCCCCCTGAAGCTCAGACGATTCGTAAGACAAGTAAACACGTCCGTAGTTGTAAACCAGCCATTATAACAACTTTAATCCCTAAACAACTCCATGGTGCAGGTCATGCTCGTGGATGCAAAGATGCAACACACCTTCGTGACCTACCGTTGACTGGGCTCTTGCGTTAGGGTTCTTGCTTACCCTGAGGCTCCAAATAGCCAACGGAGGCTTTATGTATACGTATAGACTTTAGACCGCAAAGCAGGCAACATAGACAGAGCTTCGATAAAGTTTGTTTATGATAAGTTGCTTCGAGTATGGATTACGGTTGGGGGTATCCTTTAAGCAAGAACCCAGCAAAACCCAGTCGAATTCCGATCTGGTCGAGTTGTGCGGGCCGAGCCCGCCCGCCTGCACAGCGCATCAAAAAACTGCTGTGGTCTTTCCTGGCATGCTGCTGCTTTCATTCCTGTTTAGTTATTGTTTCAGCTAAGTGCTGCATTGTTACCCGGCCGTTTCTGCGTTTCCATTGTTGAGGTTAGGGTCTAGAGTTTAGGGTTTGGGGTAAGGGTCTTGGGTTCGGCGCTTGTTGTTCGAACTGCGGGGCTGGGAGTGCTCGGGACAAACCTATGCCCTGCGTATAGAACTCGCAATGGGTAACACATTATGAGCCCCTTTAGGTCTGTAAAGCCAAATAAGAGCCCAGCTTCTCGTGGCCCGAAACCCGAGCATGAGAGCTAAATAATAATCCTAGATCATGGAACGCCCTGTGTAAAAGGGGGTATTTGGTTCTCTCAGTCCCTGCTATACTCCCAAAGCCCTCAACCCTTATACCGTCCTTGTAACCCTAAACCCTAAACCCTAACTCTTAAAGGAACCAATAAGGAACCCTAAACCCTTCAAGGGGGGGACGCCCCAGGCCGCCGGCTGCAAGTTCGCGAAGTGGCGGAGTCCTTTGGCAATTACGTCGGGGGACCCAGCAGCGGAAAGTCCAGGGTTTAGGGGTGTAAGGTTTATAGGGTTTAGGGCTTAAGGTTTAGGGTTTAGGGTTTAGGGTGTAGGGGGTTTTGGGCCTGGGGGTTTAGGGTTTAGTGTTTAGGGTTGAGGGGTTCAGGGTCTAGGGCGTTTTTGGATGGGCTTGCTGCAGGGTTCCGTTAAAGTGCCTTTTGTCAGAGTTGAGACCTGAAGCCCAGGGTTTCCGGGGCATGTGTTAAAAAGCAGGAAGTTACCCTAAGGGTCCATGCACTCATGTAGGATATACATTGGCCCCAAAGTACCTATATAGGGACCACTTTAAGGCCAAAGTATCTCCACTTGGGTACATGGACCCTTAGGGTTAGCACAAGGTGCCAGAAATTGTAAATACGATGCACAGCGTGTTGTCCTTGCTATGGTAGCTTGCGTTAAGGTTTGCAAGAAGCCAGTCTAGGGATTTTGTTCGGCAAGTAGCTGCTGGTGCCGAACTCTGAATTAAAGACCTATGCTGGATCCCCAAAACAAGTTGTCACTTTTAAATCATACAACCCCGAAAATGCTAAAAGGTACACAACCCCAAGCCCTATACCGTAGACCCTCAATTGGGAGAACTTTCCTATTCCTTTGGCCTCAGGCGAACTGGTCCGACAAAGCTTGCAATTGATGCAAACATGGAGGAGCTTTAGGGTTTAGGGTTTTAGGGTTTAGGGTTTAGGGTTTAGGGTTTAAAAATCCTAAACTAAACTAGCTAAACTGGGCTGAGGCCC